ATCTCTCTACCAGGCCTCACATCCCCAACTGCCAGGTTACAGAGTGGCACGACCCGGCTCCGGCCAGCGTCGACTGAGTACCAGCTCACAAATAGACACTAGAGTGCCTTCCTCCCTCGACAACTCCCCAGATCTCTCTACCAGGTCTCATGCCCCCATACAGCTAGAGTTACAGGGCAGTGCGACCAAGCCCCAGCCCGACCAGCGTCGTTCTGGCCTGGTCCATTTTCAAACCTCTGGGAGCAAAGATATCAGCAGATGCTAGACAGGCCACCAAGCATCACCATGGCTGTAGTTCCGATCCTCCAGCTCCTTCAGGCGCTGGTTGCAATCACGCAACAAAAATCCCTCCCATTTCTACTCCGGCAAGACTTACGGCGATGGAGCCACCCTCTCTGTCCCTGCTGTGCCCTATTTCCACCCTACAGACTAGCCCCTTCACCGCAGGGTGCATTATCACCAAACATATCAGCCAACACAACCCACTGCCGCCAACGCCAAGCGTTGAAGATTTTTTTTTTTTTTTTAATTAGAAAATCAGAAAAATCAAGAGAATCACATGCACATCGCATAGGAAACATATCCTCGAAAGGCAGACTGCGCCTACTATCCCCACAAGAAGAGGGGAGGGGAGGGAAACCACCCTCTCTCCCCATGGAAATTCCCTTACCTTTGTAGGTAGTAGGTACTAATTTTTGAATGGGTGTCCTATGGCTTGCTGGGCTGCTCCTGAACACCTACTCTTTGTTTTGTGTGCTCTTATGACCAGGGAGTCCACTGTTTGTTGGTTGTACTCCGAATGTGGTGCATGTCTGTTTGTATGTGTGAGAGGAGTCTGTGGGGCACAGGGCTGAATGGCCTAGTGCCCTTGGACACTAGTCCATCCGGCCTTCTGCATGGAGGGACAGTGGGTGGGCCACACACACACACACACACACACACACACATACACACACACACACACACACACACACAATCAGTTTTATGTTTGTCTGTTTTCCTGTTGTTGTCTGTCCTCCCTCTGATCTTCTTCCAAGTATTCTTGCTTACACAAACTGAGCACCCTTAAGTAGTGCCAAACAGTCGGCGGTTCCAGTTCTGGAGTGCCTACTGCACTGTTAGGGGGCCGCTTGGTTTGGGGTGTCTGTGTTGCCTGTGGGTGATGACAGATGCTGGTCGGAGTGTCTCCCTGGATCAGTGGGTGGTGGGAACCAACATTCTGCGGGGTTCAATCGTGATGTGAGTAGGTCATGTGCCGCTTTGCTCCATGTTGGATGTGTGGACGGCCTCGTCTGTGCTCCACCGCTGCCCTGCTGCCTGTCCTGCTTGCTTCGCATGTGGTTCTTTGCAGGTTGATGTGTTCGCTGTGTGGTGTGGCCGTGTTGTTGGTGTTGCCTTGCGCTTCGCTGCTCCACTGCCTTGCTGCCCTGCTGCTGGCCGCGCCTTCCGTGTTTGCTCATTGCGGGCCTTGTTGGATGGTTGCCTTGTTACTGGTGCCTTGTGCTTGCTCCACAATTGCCAAGCTGCTGGTCCGCTCGCCCATTCTCCCTTGCAGTGTGGTTACCTTGCTTGTGTTGCCTTGTGCTTCACTACACGGTTCCCGGACTGGAGGGCACAGGGGAGGCGGGGAGGGCAGACAACATGCAAGCACATGAAACAGGCAAACAGGAAAAAATAAGGACTTGTTTTTTTTTGGTTTGCCTGCTGATGTGCTTGCATGTTGTCTGCCCTCCGGCCTCCCCCATGCCCTCTTGCCTATATATCTGGCACTTTGGAAAGCTGGTCATGGATAACCACGTATGCACGAGGTAGCTTCATGAGATGTAGTAGAGTGGCAACATACAACGTTAGTTTGGTTGCGGCAGGGCGCGGTGTACCATGGGTTCCATGGGGTGCATGGTGAGTACACCATGGGATATATTGGACACATACACACACACAGTCATTCTTATGTTTGTATGTATGTCATTCCTCTTCTCGATTTTTTTTCGAAGTACTTTGTCTAGGTCAGCACCTTTAAGAAGTTCGAAAAAGTCGGTGGTTGGTGGTTTGGAGTGTCTGCAGGACTCGCGGAGGGTGGCGCTCTGTCTGTGATGTCTGTGGTGCATGAGGCATGTGTGTGGATGACTCGGTATGGTCATTGTGCCTGTATTTGGGACAGTTTCAGTCTAGACACGGTAGGGAGGAGAGAGGTTTGCCATCATCCCCCGAACACAACACACCCTGATTATGAATGCATACAAGCTAGCTTTCCAGTCCTATACAGACAAATGATGGTCCGTTGTGTTCGGGGGAAGATATTAGTCGGACTTCCCCAATCCACAAAGGAGATCAAATCACTGCTGCTCTATCATCACTGTATCTTGACTGACAGTTGCCCCAAATACAGCTATAATAACCCAGCATTTAATCCGGGCGGAGACAGTAGAATTCTGACCCGTGTTTTTGGGCTATAAGGAAGGAGCTTCGCTTCTGTGAAAAAAAAAAAAAAAAAAAAAAAAAAAAAAAAAAAAAAAAAAAAAAAAAAAAAAAAAAAAAAGAGCTTCGCTTCTGTGAGCAATGTTTTTGGGAAATTCCCAAAATGTCCTCCATTTCGCTCCTGTTGGCTGTTAACCTGAACAGTGTTCCGAGCCAACAGTCATATTCCTAAAGTATACCATCTTACAGTTTGATTTTCCCTATTAGGAAGTAATGGAATAACAAATCCTGCAAAGATTGGAAATAATATAATAAATTAATAATAATAATAATAAAAAACTTAACCAAGGCAATTGAGGGCCTTCGTTTTGTCTGGACCGTGGCTCCTGAAGCGCCGCATTGTACGAAAACTTTCCAAGGAGGTGGGTCTGCTCCTCCTGGGAAAAAACCACCTGCTGCTGGCGCGCTGGTCCCCTTTCGCCTCCAACCTCTTCACCTACATGCGCCTGCAGGTGCTGATGGTCACATGGAGAGCCAGGTGCGCCTTCGAAAGGAAAGATCACCAATTCGGGTTACCTCAAGCACAGCAGGTTATCGAGGAAGAGATCAGGGCCCGGACGCATGAAGCCTGGCAAGACATGAAAAGGGCCTGCCGGGAGGAGAAGGACCCCGTCGCCAGACAAACTATGATTGACTCCTACTGCCAGCTGTGGCAAGACCCGCACAAGAGATTCTCTGACCTAAACGTCACCCTTGACATCCAGTGGAAACCATGGCGGGCCACTGAGCGAGCCTGGGAACGGAGACCCTTCCACTGCTTTCAAGTCCCCTACCTCCAGACTAACTTTGTCCTTGTCACGGACAGTACACTGCACCCCCCCCC